GGGAGGGAGGGAGGGAGGGAAACCAAGCAAGCAAGCTAGCAAGCAATGTAAACAAAGCACATGGAAGTGCTCCTGCAAACCTCCCTTGAACCCCCCACATAATATTAAAGAAGCTGCTGCATAGGCTTAGTTTCCACATTGCCTAAATTTCATTTAAACTCATGTGAAGAATTACCACATACAACACATTGATCTGTTTTTTGCACTATTAACCACAATAGACTTAACACAATAGCTATGCCAGTGGGATTGCTTATTAAATAATTTCATGATCATAACCCTTTGACTGGTCTAGATATTTTTTGCAAATTTACAGGGGGATGCTACTGTAACCCCTAAGAAGAAATAAACTTATGTGTACCTTTTGGTCCCCTCCATAGCAAAATCCATAATAATTTTATTACCTACAGCTGTGTGGACATGATTTCAAAGTAGTTATGAAAACATAACTTTGCATCATAATTTCAAATGAGTGAAAATTATCGTATTTTGGCAAATCTATCAAGATTAAAAATATCCTTTTGTACATGTAGATTGTGAGGAGATCATATCCCCATTTTTCTCATTTCCCCACCAATCCCCAAAAATCAGTGAAAGCCCTGGTTCAAGTAGTCCCACTGTAAGATTAAATGTTTAATGTAGTTTCCTTACAACAAAATTCTTTGGCCAAGTTATCAAGACCCACTCTTTCATGACACAAAGCATGGTGGAGGTCACTATGAGGTGTAGCTGAAGGTGTTGTATTTTTCCAGTGAAGTAACATATCATATGGTTTATCTTTTCCATTAGTCGCTATATCATTCAGTACATTCTGACTAATTCCAAGTTGAAGTCCCAGATTATTCCACTTTCCACCAATCTTTCCTGCCAGCTCATTTAGTTCACGGTCACCAGGTTTGACTTCTTTAAAAGCAACTATATGTGAAAGAGGAGAAGCTCGCAGTTAACCAGTGATGCAGTGTTGTTACACAACAAAGTGATAAAAACATCATCTATCCTTTCAGTGAAACATCAAATTTATTCATGACACCTAATGCTGTTCACTACCATGCATCAAACAAGCTTCAGGGGTCATTGTAAATTGTTCTCAGCAAAATTAAATTTTCCACTCATTTAATCCTTTTTTAACACCATTTTTCATTCTACACGCTTCCATGGTGTGAGAAGTGAACTCATACTTTTAGAACAGGAATTTACATGTAGGCTTGCCACCAACATAGTTTTCACTTAAAAACTAACAACATTTAAGTTTGTTATAGCCAGGACAAATTTCCAATTGCAGGTCCAAAGAAACTTGACAGCACATTTCCATATTTTGTAAGAACCCTGAAGCTTTTGTTTCTTTTAAATTACTGTTTCAATTGCCATGTTGATGTTCAAATTAACCATCTAATGATGACAAAAACAGAGTCAGTATTACACACTGGTGGCCCAGGTTATGCAGATCACAACTTACAATTTCATTTCCTGGTACAACTTACATGTATCCTCATGAATAATTGGTGGACTTTTACAAGTCTTTTAACATATTATTTATGAATTAAAAGTAATCAAGATGTTCAGCTGTCTGTCTTGTACTGGGTTCAAAATCTAATCTATGGTTCAAAAATACCTAATAAACACTTTGACTCTTGGATTCAGTTTCATTGTTTCTAACCCTTCTGAAATTTTCTGCATTTTTTCCAATTGATGTTTCGTGAATCCCTTATCCCAGGAATTAGCAACCCCTGATACCTAGTCACTGCAATTAAATGAAGTATTTCATCTGAAGTGGGAATGTACACACCTGTTTCTTCAACATCATAAGTTACTGCTGCAGTAGTTATGGTTTCTTTGGTTCCTTCCTTGGGTTTTGCTGCATTTGCTGGATCCAATGTCCCAGTCTGTGAGTGGGATCCTTTCAGTTTGACAGGTTCACATTCAACGCTTAACCCAAGAGAATCTGCTGAGAAATAATCCTTTGTTAGACTCACAATACAAAAGAATGAAGAGGAACACATAGAAAACAGAAAAACAATAAACTTGCATATATAACCTATTAGGCTTTGTACCCATTTGCTGTACTTTTTAGGTGATAGACTCTTTCTGTATCATGTTTCAAACTTTTTCATGCTACAATTCTCATAACATAACACTTACCAAAACTGATTTTCTGCATTGTTTCAACAAGAGAACAACACTGCTTTTGCCAGCTGTACTTCGCACCATACTTCACTCGAAGTATCTCACACTCCTCAAGTCGCACATCCCTGTCTTTTTCTCGTAAAGCACTGATTGCCTTTGCCCAGTCTTTGGGCTCTTCAGAAGCCACTATCCAGTTTGAGCCAGTAGCCACTTTCTTGAAAGCTTCTCCAAGTCCCGAGTTACCACTTACAAGTACAGGCAGGCCTGCAGATAAGGCTTCAAGAGCAGTCAATCCAAAGCCCTCAGTCCTTGATGGCATTATGGCAAGATCCACTTCACACAATAACTTGGCCAGCCCTTCTCTGCTTTCATCAA